TAATTGTACTACTTTTCTGAAGGTGGTTTAGCTGAGGGAGTGGTAATTGTACTACTTTTCTGAGGTAGTTTAGTTGAGGGAGTAATACTTGTACTACTTTTCTGAGGGTAGTTTAGCTGAGGGAGTGATAATTGTACTACTTTCCGAGGTAGGTTAGCTGAGGGAGTGGTAATTGTACTACTTTTCTGAGGTAGTTTAGTTGAGGGAGTAATAGTTGTACTACTTTTCTGAGGTGGTTTAGCAGTAGGTCTCCAAGCCCTTAGAAATGTGATGTGTGAAGCTCTGAATCAGCAATCCCACTTCTCTTGTCACCTAAAGCTGCCGTCAAACAAGTGTGCAGAGCTGTGTGTGAGGATGTTCACTGCAGTTGTTTATAGCGTGGGCCCGTAGGAACTGACCCGGTAGATGGCCGTAGCTCACGTCAGGGCACTGTAGTGGTCAGAGGGCCTGTGATCGGTTTACATTGACTGGCAGGGAGACCTGCTGCTGGCTGAAATCCTGTGGATGCAAGGTGTGGCACGGGTCTGTCTGAGTGTGGTTTGCACATGGATGGAGCCACTCTTCCCACGGGTGTGGAGGGTGAGGGGCAGGGGGCCTCAGTTTCCCCTACAATGAGCACAGATCACTCATGGGTTAATTTTCAGAGATCCCAATGGGACAGTCACAGCTGGGGATAGACACAGCATGGGGAGCATGTGGGACATGGTGCTGCATGGGGCTACGGGCCTGAGGGTGCCCCTTAAAGAAAGGGAGGACAAGCAGAGAGAGAGAATGCATTGGACTGGGCCCATGGGTCTAAGGCACAAAGGTGAGGGCCATGGGCAGCACATTTGGGGAGCGGAGCAGCCTGGCGTACTGGAGCAGGGGTCGGCAAGTGAGTGGGGTGGTCAGTGGGGTGTCTTTCCTTTGTGCATGGGGGGCTTGAAGAGGGGGAGACAGTGGGAGAGCCCAGCTGGGTACCCTCGGGTGCACTGGGTGCCAGCCATGGAGGCGGATGGGAAGGAGGGGCAGGAGGGGGACTCTGCACGCTGGGGCTCGACAGAGGCCAAGGTTGCAGCTGACGGGAGGGTCCTCTGTTATCTTCCTCCCACTTTTACAGGCCTTCCGAGTGAGGACCCCAGGTTTCCCAAGGCCCCGTGGCCCACCCCGGATCTCTGCCCGGCCTGCCACGAGGAAGTCAAGGGCCTGGACAGCTGGGACGAGGGCCAGGTGCTTGTCTTCCTGAAGCAGCACTACAGCCACGCCAACCTCCTGGACACGTACTCTGCAGACCCCGGGGGTCCCGATGAGGAGGGGGAGAGAGGACACCCTGCCCCACAGAAGTCCCGCAGCAGCCAGCACCCCGGGAGTCTCCGTCCGCCGGATGCACTGGGCTCCCAACCCCAACCGTCGGAGAACTGGGCCCACAGACCGGACGTCAGGGCCCAGAGCCCACGTGGAGCTGGGGCCCGCATGGAGCCCGCCGCCGCAGTGCCCTTTCTGGGGGCCGGCTTCTCCAGCCTGGACATGAGCCTCTGTGTCCTGCTCTACGTGGCCTCGTCCCTGTTCCTAATGGTCATGTGCTTCTTCTTCCGCGTGAGGTCCAAGCGCTGGAAGGTCAAGCACTACGCCCCCGGGGTGTAGGTGCTTGAGGCGCTGCCTACCTGCCTGCACAGCTTTGCTCACCGTCGGGGATTTCACAGTGTCCACAGAGCGCCACTCAAGCACCTGCCGGCTCCTCCCTGGGTGGGACGTGGGGTGTTTTTGGTGGAGCGTGTGCACTCCGGGCTTCCTCAGTCTGCCCTTCCAGATCTGTCACTGAAAGAGCCCTTCTGGTTCACACTTCTAGGTCAAAGGGCAGGAGGCCAGGCCCAATGAACAGACGCCCCGCTCTTCTGTCTCAAGTTTACAAACAACACGTAGCATTCCAAGGCCCCTCCCCGTTTGTGGGAGAGCAGCCCCCCTCCCCCCAGGAGGCTAGTGGGCCGCGCTGTGCAAGAGGGGAGCCTGAAGCCCCCCTTGCCTTCCCAGACCCCTCCCGCGCTTCGTGATGCAAACGTGGTTCTGTGTGCTGTTTGTGTTTGGTGCTTTTCAGCAGCTTGGTTCTGCTTAAGTTTGGGTGCCAGGTGAGTGGGAAGGAGAAGGAAATGCTGCTTTGTTGTCCAGGCTGCAGGTGGCCGTTCCCCTGCTCTGTGGGCGGACGTCACCGTCACGGGGGTGTGAGTGTGAGCCGAAGGAGCACCTATGCTTCCTGTGGCCTCACCACGTGTCGGGAAGTGGCTGGAGGCCGCACCCAGTGACTGGGCTGATGAAGGGACAGGACGGGGCCCGTTGTATTCTCCCGGTGTGTTTGCCATGCACGTGTCTGTTAACCTTCGGAGGAGACTCGCGAGCAGCCGAGCAGCTCCCTGTGGGAGGGGTAAGCGAGGCGGACACTGTAGGCGGGTCCCACTTTGCCCAGAGGTTAGAATGGAAGGGTGAGCTGGGAGGTGAGGGTCTCCTCCCCAGTTATGGTTACAGTCAGGTTGCTGCCAGACTGACCTTCTGAAGCCCACCCCCTGAGCGGCGTCCCCGGGCTTGGTTCTCATTTCTTCACCATTTCATGTTTTAATCACGTTGTTTGTAAAGCCCAGAAAAGCATTTAGTGCTAAAGTTGCATTTGAAGACTTAAACAATAGAGCAAACCAAGCCTGGGTCCTCTGTTAGGCTGTCTTGCAGCTTCATTTCATTTGAGTGAAATGTTGCGTTTACTAGTACCATCTGGGCGCAGGGTGTGTGTGTGTGTGCGTGTGTGCGTGTGTGCGCGCGCTGGCTTCAGTGTGGTGGTGTAACGTCTTCCCTTTTGTCTCTTTTTCGCTCACATGTTCACTAATTCAAGCTGAGCACTTGGGTATATGCACAAGACCATGTAACATGGGTGTGACTGCTGCTGCTTGGGGAAATCCCCCGCGGTGTCTTGCTGTCACTGGCTTCCACTTCCCCTTCCAGACGGGTCAGACCAGACGGAGGAGCCCACAGAGCGAGAGGGGCGGTGGGGCCTGGACACCGTGCCTTCTGGAATGGGCAGTGTTTGAACGCAGTGGCCTCTGTTCTCTGCCTCAAAATGTGTTTCTTCTTCCTTGTTCGATGCTTTTTTTTAATCCCTAGAAGCTGCTGTGTTTAAAGAAATATGAGTTTGCCTTGGTGGCGAGGTGTGTGCTGGGTTCCCGAGGCTCTGTGTCACTCCTCTGTTCAACCCGAACACAAGCGGATGTCCGTGGCCCGAGGGAAGCCCCTACAACCGTTTCCCGCGCTGCCTCGGCTGCTGTCAGCTGTCTCTCCCCTAAAGTTTGTTTCCCGGATGGCGGCGACTCCAGGGTGTTGCTGTCTCCATCTTGGGGCTTGGCCTTTACTAAAAGGCCATTTGAAATGCAGCAGTGGCTTTCAGGTTTCATGATGATATTGCAGTTTGAGGTCACCCTTTTGGGGAGAGAGTTTATGACTTCCTGGGGGGAAGGTTGTCGGAAGAGCCTTTGTGGCCAGCGTGTCAGGGCCACCTGGTTGCTGTCACAAGAAGGAGAAGTGCCACAGTTGGCGAGCGAGTTCTCGTGGGTGTGCCTGCCTCGGCACACGGCTGCTCAGACCTGGATGCCACCTTCAGGAAAGGGTTAAGGTATATTTTCTGAATTTTTAAGTATTATAAGAGGTATTGAAACTAATGAATATAATAGTTCCATAATTTAAATGTTTATTTATTTTTATGGGAGGATTTTGATTTAAAAAGTTAATTGGCATGGAAATGCCAATGAGATTTCTTACCTGGGAGGAAAATGAACATTTTGTATTTAAACATTATAATGTGTACCTTTTTAAAATAAAGAAATCTGACATTTGGAAAAATTGTAATTCTTTTGAAAAGTGAACCAGCTTTGCCAATGGGGGGTTGGGTGCAGAATAGAACTTTCTTTCCCATCTAGTGGACATTTTAAATTCTTGAGTTTCTTTTGTTGAACCAGAAGCTTTTTGGAAGACAGCCTGAGGTCAGGTGGAAGGTGAAGGATGGGGGTTGAGGAGGGATTATTTCCTTGGGGGCTCCCCTGACAGAGAAGGCAGCGTGACCACCCCTCGCCTTCCCTGGGGGGAGAGGATATGGGAGGGGGGAAGGACCCGGCAGCCAGCGGGGCGCTCCAGAGGCTTCCTGGATTAGGGAGCTTCCAGGACCCCAGGTAAAGCCAGCAGCTGCCCACTCTGTTCTTAATACCCCAGCTGCCCTGGGCTTGACGGCTCACCCCCTTTCCCAGGGGGAGGGGTCCCCACTGTTGGTGGCTCCAGAGGGAAGGCTGTCGGCTGCAGTTGTGAGGATCCCCCTTCCCAACCTCTGTGGGGAGGGAAACAGCCCCTCTGTTTGCCCAGGACCACCAGGGCTCCACCAGACCCCATTCTGTTGGGAGGTGTCGCGCCTTCGGTGGCCAGCGCCCGGCAGTGGGAAGCTGGGCAGGGTGGGGTGACGGACCTGATGCTTCCTCCTCAGCTGCCCTGCTCAGAGAGGAAGACGGTCGGTGGCTGATGGTGGCTGGGTGCTGGTGACCAGTGGGTGCTGGTAGCTGGGTGCTGGTGACGGGTGGCTGATGGTAGCTGGGTGCTGGTGACCAGTGGGTGATGGTTGCTGGGTGCTGGTGACCAGTGGGTGATGGTGGCTGGGTGCTGGTGACTGGTGAGTGATGGCAGCTGGGTGCTCGTGACCAGTAGATGATAGTCACTGGGTGCTGGTGGCCGGTGGCTGATGGTGGCTGGGTGCTGGTGGCCGGTGGCTGATGGTGGCTGGGTGCTGGTACATGGCCTGAGCAGATCAGCTGGAGACGGAGTGGGGCTGGGAGGTAAGTGGGGAAAGTCGGAGGACGCAGCAGCAGGTGGGTCTCTGCGCTGCTGGAGCCCAGGAAGCTGCGAGCTGGCAGCTTGGCCCGCTTGCTGCGAAGACGCGTCGCTTCCAGGCGGCCTTCGGCTCTGGGCGAATCGGCTGGGCTCCCTGGGGGCGGGGGGTGGGGCGCCCACGCTGCGGCCCCCGCTCAGTCAGGTGGAGGAGGCGGCCTGGAAGCCAGGAGAGGGGGCAGGAGTAGGGAGAGGGGCGTGGGGTGGG